GGTAAGCACAAAATCTCAAAATCGAGTTTTTGCCCGGACCCTGCCTTCAAATGTGTCATCAATATGTTTCCTCTGAACCCATCAAAGTGAAGTTAGACTGATAACAAAAAGCACAAAGCGTCTAAAAAAGCGACTTACCCTCGACCAAGAACAGCGATGGCGGCAGCAGCGGCAAAATGGCTTTCATGGGAGACGTCTCCAACATTGGATCCAGAAGGAGGCATCTCAATCTCCCATAGCGTGGATGCCGATGGAGACGGTACACTAAAATTTGAAACTTGTTTTAATTCGAAATGGCTGAGAAGCAACATGAAGATACCTAGTGGTTGTATCATCCATAACGGTGGCGGGGGATTGTATAACTACATTTGTGTCGCTGATTCGATGACTACTGCCACTGCCCTCGGCGCCGTCGCCTTGAGAATGCACACGTGCTCGTGTACGCATTCGTGTCATCACATCTCCCCAGGAGCCCCGTGGACGAAATTCTTGACCAAGTTGTAAAACCTAAAACTGGAAAAATTGGGGAAAATATCACGGAGAGCAAAATTGGTTTTTTTTAAGTCGAAGAACGAGGAACGCTTCTTTCCTACAACAATTTACCCAATGTTTAGGCTTGCAAAGAATGACGTAAAAAATAAATGAAAGCAATATAGCGATTTGCTCAGGTAATATAAACCTGATGCAAAATAAATGCGTGTTAGGCACGCGCCACACTTGATGCACTTGATCCACTTAGTTGGTCAGTTCGCTGATTGGACCAATACGGAGGTGGATAAGGTGGATCAAGCGGATCAAGTAAAAAATCATATGCAGTGTACCTTTACTCATAAACCCGAGAAATTTCAGTACCCAAAAATTGGATTTCTGTGCAAAAACGGCCTATGGACCTCTGATTCGATTGTGCATATATTTCTCATATCAGTTATTAATATGCCACTTGCTGTATTTCTTGGTAAATCGAGTAAGAGAAACCAAGATAGGCCAAAAACACAAAAACATCCTCTTTTTCAGGTTTTTACTCATTTTCATATTTTCGATTGACTCTCGTGGAAGGCTAGAAAATAATGGCTTTGCGGAAGTTGTCGCATGAAATTCCAAGACTGAACGCTAAGTTATAGATGAAGAAATGCTCCATGTGTGGGAGCGGAACACGGTGGCTGGCAAAAGCGTACCAACTTTTATTATCTCGATTTCTACACGGAGAAAGTTCTGATGGAAGCAGTGAATACATAAGCGAATTGAAGCCATAGTTTTCGGGTAGAAATTCGATTTATGAAGTTTCCAAATTCTGGCTCTAAACTTCACAGCCAAACATTGAGAGAATCCTCGATTGACATTTAAGCTCGCTTTTTTCTATCGAATCATATAATTCTTAAATTTCCCAATCTATTTTGCCACGGTAGCATCAGTAACACGTATTAATTTGGCTTCCACCAGTACATTCACTTATCTTGATATGAGTGGTGAGACCAATAAAACCCAGGGTAAAATTAGAAGGTATCTCATGCTTGAAACCACGCAAAAGCTAGAATCATACAAGTTAAGATGATACTTGCACCCAAAAGTAATGTGTCATGTCTCTTTTATGCCCATCAATCCTAGCTCTAGGAATATTTGAGTAAAGATTACGAGTAAAAATTGAAGAGAGATCTTAAAATTGAAGAGAGATCTTTTCCCAGGCATCTCACCTTCCCGAAACGGCTAC